CACGAGTGCAATCCTGGTGGTGCTGAGATGGCAAACACAAGAAGGGAGCAAGGAATATTTCTTTTGCTTTTCCTGGCACTGCTAAAGCTTAATATTCCAATAAACAGCATTTTCAAAATACCAAGAGTGAAGCACCATTGATTTTCAGAACATCCCTAGTCGGTTTGTTAGCAAACAAAGAGCTTGTACTTTGAATTGCAGTGTTGGTGCCGGCGTGTAATAGCCATTTCCATAGATTTTTAGTCTTAGAGATTCAGAACAAAAATTATGGAGCATTCCAATTATGAGAAAATATATTTTTACAGAAGCTTTTCATACATGGTAAGTTTAAGCAACTAGCTACATTTTGAGAAAGAAATTTGAAGCTTTTCCTAGAGCCGTAGCATGACAACATCTAGAAGGAACCCGACTGGCAAAGTAACAAGACAGGCTGGAAAAGTAAACTGTCCATAAGAGCTTAATTTGCCGTCTTCAAAACAGGTCATAAGAAACTAAGTATGTTCTTAAACAGGAGTTTTGACATTTATTTTAAAAGTGTCTTTTTGGACAAATCAAAAGTTACACAGAGAAAACTGTGTTTGTTTCAACTGCCTAGGGGTTGTGCCCCAAGGCTAAAGGTGGCAATTTCTTAAGCCACATGATGCGCTCTGATGCCACTGTCACAGGCAAAGGGGATTTTGAAAGGATTATTTTGAGAAGAAAACATTCAATGAAGTCAGCTCATGACTGCAGAGCCTTGGACTTGTGTGTTAATTTTGGTTTTTAAAGTTACCGCTCCTTTGTCAAGGCAGGGATATAAATAAATATATATATACCATATTCCCCAAGGATGCAAAAAGAATCGACCCAATTTGGGGAAAGATTTACTTTTCTCAGTGAGTGACCAAACCCAATCTTTCTAATCAGATTCTCTCAGTTTGGGGCCACAGCTGCCTACTTTTGTGTGGTCTCCTGGCAGCTGCTGCAATATCAGGGGAAAGAGAGGAGCATCCTCCCCTTCCTTGCTGCACACGCCGTAGTGCGACTGGTTTGCTTCAGACAACATGGTGTTTGAGTGAGGATTTGAACACCTTTAAAGTCTTCAGTTCTACAAAGGTGATGAGAAAACAGATGGTGTATTAGCCAAAAATTCTAGTTCTTGTCTTAGTACAATTTTTCCATGTTTTGCCGCTGCAAGTGTATTTTTATCGTGAATTCGTGTTAGATAAAACCACCCGAGCAGCTAATGAAGAGCTATGTCAGCACACTTCTCTGTTGGTTTCTCTGCTGCCAGTCACGTGAAGGTAGGTGAAAACCAGCCTATTGGCAGGGAGGCTCAGGGGTTCCCAGTTTGCTGAATCTTGGCTAACCCATTCTGTCAGTGTTCCCTGTTTCTAGATGCATCTTGACAATTTGTAAAATACATTGGAAAAAGTGCTGGACTCCATCAGTTTATCTGGACTGAATTATTTGTAGATCACTTTATGCATCTTCCTGTGTATGCTAGAAGCAGTGACTTATTGTCATTTATATTAGTAAAAATGCTAATAATCTGAAGGAAAATGAGACTCAAAAATCTTCTTAAGAAAAACAGAGCGATTTTGCCAGGAAAGAATAGGCTTGTTAGATTTGCGATGGTAGAAAAAACCTTCAGTTAGCTGAATTTGGTCTTTAATGATTTAAATTTTTAATGAAAAATAATTTAAAAAGCCAACATGAGCTCTCTCAGGCAAATTGATTTTTGAAAATGTTTTAAAGCATTAAGGCTCCTCACTGTTGTCTGTGCTCATTTTTTTCCCCGTTTATTTCCCCAGCCCTATCCCCTCTGCCCAAGCAGATCAGAGGAGCTGCAGAACAGCAATCTCCTCTTGTTTACTTGTGTTTCAGGGAGAATTGAACACACCACGGATTCTCCTCTGCACAAACCCCAGCAAGACGGAGGTTTGACAGCTATTGCAGCAGACAAGCGATGGAGAATGGCAAAGGCTGGCACCTGAAAAAAAAACAAACCTTAATCCTTTTCACAGCCCCATTTTCCTTGCTTTTGAGATATCTCTCCTTTTTCATTTAAGTTGTAGACTTTTCTTTTCTTTGTTTTTGAGATAGCTCCCCTTTTTCATTTAAGTTGTAGACTTTTCCAGTCAAAGGAAGCAAGAAAACAAGGGAGTTTCGGAGTTTCTTTGTTGTCCTCAAGTAGCTTGAGCCAAAGGAAGCAAGAAAACAAGGGATTTTCTTTGTTGTCCTCAAGTAGCTTGAGCAGTTTGAGAGCAGTCACCCATCAGATCAGTGCCATTGGCACGAGCACAATCACTGGGGGGATCTGCATATGCACAAGCAGCCATCAAGCCGCAATTCTGCAGCGATAATGCGAGCGTAGTGTATTTATTTGCAAGACAGGAATGATGCGATGTCCCTGCACACCGGAAAATGTTGATCTACAGCTGATTTATGTAAAATGCAACAGCACCCACCAGGTGAGCTTGTTGATCTGAGGTTAGTTCCAGCTGCAGCTTGGCTTAGCTGCTGCTTCCAGGCGCTCAGCCTGTGCACACGTTTTGGGGACGTCATTCTGGCTTGCCAGCATGTGCTGTCCTCTGTCCTCCAGTCAGGGCCTGCAGGGATGAACAATTCACCAGAGCATTAAGCAAGGATTAGGTCAAAAAGCCAAGTGAACCGTTCAGGCAACTTTGCAGCCTCTGTTGCATAAGAACCAGAACAGGTAATCACAGCAACTTTATTATCTCCAGAAGTGAAAAGAGCAACAATAATCCATGTTACCTATCTACGTTTCTTTGGCTCTCACCACCTGTAGTATCTTACCAACAACTGTATCTGGTAGTCAAGTTAACTGGTGTGCTAACATAAAAATTAACCTTTGGTATCATTGCTGCAAGATAACCAAGCAAAGCATAATGAAATCTTAAAATTGGACCATTGCACAAATCATAAGATTATAAAATGTTGTCATACTACTAGGATAACTCTGAGCTTTCAACCTTCATGCCACAATGAGACATTATGCATATTTAGCTGGGGAGAAATGTCTCCCTCCAGGAAGACACATTTTTACAGCCTTCCATGATAGGGATTTTATACCTATCTCTGGAACACTCACTGCTGGTTTATCTAGCCTGGTAACCCCAGTAAGATCTTTTTTTATGGCCTCAGTTTATTAGTATCCAAAATTGTCTCTTTCCTTTCTATCCCCTTTGCAACAGCAGCTCTTTATTAGAAACTTAATAAACTTTGCGTATGTTCTAAAGATAATATTGAAAACTCCAAAATTGTGTTCTGTATTTTATAATTGGTGTAGGAAAAAAAAGAAAGGGGAGATCTAATCCTATTGGGCCTACTTCTTTCTCTTTTGCTCTCTCTCTGCCTTTTTCCCCTTTGATGCTAAGCAGCAAATTTTAATTAGCTTCATTTCCACAATTCAGTCATGCATATGTAATCTTCGTTCACACTTTTATAAAGTAAAATTAAGTGAAAGGAATTGGGTAATAATAGAAAGCTTGTCTGAGCAGAACAAATATGAATTATCAAACAGAAGGAAAGATGACTGTGGGACTACAGGACTTGAGGTAGTGCAAGGTTTGAGGTGGTTTCTCTGAAATGGGGCTGTATAAATAACACATTGAAACAGGTGCTGATTATCCTGTTTTGGGCCTCTTTTATTCCTTAGGCACTTGGGCTGCTGAGGTACAGTGTAACCGCTGAATATGAGGAGACTGCTTAATAACAGCTTTCTAATATATTGCTTTTATCATGAGCTGGAAGGCGTCACATGAGCTTGTCTACTTAATAAAAATCACTTTGTGAACCCACTCTTCCTAGATTTGGTAGTGCAGTAGATCACTGCGCTGGGCCCCTCTCTGGTTATAACTGCAGAAGCTGCTCTGCCATTTTGCATTGTAATTTAAAGGCTTTCTAATTCATATACACACCCTAATTAAATGTGCCCAGGGGTTACCTTAGGAGCCTTCAGCGCTATGGTTTGAACCTACAAGTAAAGAGTATATTAAATTAATTCCCCCTTGGGTAAGACACAGGAGGGGGCAGTGCATTTTCACCCCTGCTACTCCTGATTATTAGAAAGGATGAGCACAATTAGGGTTGCTAACTTCATTATTTTCATTATCTAGCACAAGGAGATGGAAATTTAAAGAGAGACTATTAATGTGTCTAAATCTAGAGCTCAGCTTGTTTTAAAAGTTCTTATAAGATTCATTATGGTCTAAACAGGTAGTTTAAGAAGCCACCAGTTCAGCAGCAGCAACTAAAAATCAGAACCTCCCACTGATGTAAAGCAGTTGGTGGCCACAAAAGCTGCAGAGGATGTTGAAATGTTGGTTAAACGAAATGCAAAGTAGCAGAGCACGTTGCTGTTAGCACATACAGAATTGAAGCATGAAGCCAGATTAACATTAAATGCATGTGCAGATAGTCACCCTTCAGCCTCCGGCCACGTAATGGGCCTCACCCTAACCCAGCAGAAACTTCCTCCTTTTGTCCCTGAGCAGCAGATCCAATTACAGGAAATGAGTGTCACATCTAAGGCTTTTTTTTCTCTCTTTCTAACCCTGCTTTGCTGTCAGTGACTGGGACAGCAAAGACTTAGGTTAATGGTTAACGCAGCAGTACAACCACACCGGAGCGCTGCTTCCTCCTGGCCAGCCTAGGACCGAAGCTGCCTCTGCGCTGGGAGGAAGTAGTGAAGACCAGCAGTGAAGATCGAAAGCAGAGCAGCTTGCAGCACGGCACATGGGAAACCAGCTCCTCGGCTTAGACAAGAAAAAAGGAGGAAAACAGCACAGGAGCAAGACCCATTTGTAAAAACAGGTAACAGCTGAAGCACTTTTGCTGTGTGTATTGACTCAGCCACCATAACTAATAACGAATGAAAGCTTCAGGTGTGGCTAGTTGAGAGATTTACCTCTTACCTAGCTGCCTTCAGAGGGGTGAAGGAAGGAAGAATCTTCTTGGGGTGGCTCTGAGTGTTGGAGGGCGTAGGGAGCCTGTGCATGGCAGCACAAACGTCCCCCTCGGACTGCTCTGAGGTCATTGATCACAGCCATGTCCCTGAGTTCGAGGTTTCACCATGGATCAAGATCACTATGGCCATCCTCTACTTCCTGGTCTTTGTGGCAGGGATCTTGGGCAACAGCATCACTATCAGGACCACCAGGATCCTGCAGAAGAAGGGTTACCTGCAGAAGGAGGTCACGGATCACATGGTGAGCCTGGCCTGCTCTGACCTGTTGGTGATCCTGCTCGGCATGCCCGGCGAATTCCTCAGCGCCATATGGAGGCCCTTCTCCACCCCCAATGGCAATGTGGTTTGCAAGCTTTACTCCTTCCTGTTTGAAGCCTGCAGCTATGCCACAGTGCTGCACGTGGCTACTCTCAGTTTCGAGAGGTACGTGGCCATCTGCCACCCCTTCAAGTTCAAGGCAGTCTCTGGACCCCGCAAGGTGAAGCTGCTCATCGCCTTCGTGTGGGTGACGTCCGTCCTCGTGGCTCTGCCCCTGCTCTTTGCCGTGGGCACGGAATATCCCCTGGAAATCATCGAGGGCTACCAAGGTGTGACAGCCTGTGTCCAGCCTACGCCCCGGCACCACGTCCCTGAGTTGAGGCTCAACATGACCATCTGCACCAACCTCTCCTCCAAATGGCCCGTCTTCCAGGCCAGCATCTTCAGCGCGTTTGCTGTGTACCTCATCGTGCTGGGCGCCGTGGCCTTCATGTGCCGCAGCATGATGAAGACCCTGATGATCCACAAGAAAGGAACCCTTGCGGTGAAGGGAGAGTATGGATACCAGGAGCAGCAGTTGAGGAAAAACGAAAGCTCGGACAGCAAGAGCTCCAGGAGACAGATCATTTTATTCCTTGGTAAGAGCCGTGTCTCCCTCCTGCTTTGTATCCCTTCTTCCTTCCCATGCCACCCTTTCCAGACTGGAAGAAAAACTGCCATCTTATCTCACTGAGCCCCCAAATAGGGGCAGCTGGGTGTACAACTGAGCCAAAACGAGAGAGAGGGATGCTTTTGATTGCAGCCATATGTATTTTAAGCACCCTGACTTCCCTGCATGTGTTTGACTAACTCTTTTGTCTTTAGAAAAGATAGGAAGGGAGGAAGATGGAAAAATCCAATTTGCTTTCTATTTTTGTTGTCAGATTACACTCCTGCATGTCTATCCCTCCAAACAAATGCAAACGGGTAATAGGTATTGCTGCTTAACCTTTGGAATATCGATAGGCCCAGGAGCCTGGTTATAAAGTAGCTCTATTGGCATTTTTTCCCATTAAATTAAAAATATGTGCATATTTAGTAAGGCTCTTGATGGAGGAGAGAGTACAGATAAAGATCTGAAGCTTGTCCTGCTCTAAAGACATGTCCCTGTTGATTCCCTGCCCTACCGAGAGGGCACTTGCTCCACTTCAGTTGTGGCCGTGTTGCATTCAAGCATCACGAAAGCTGGGCTGTAGAGCTGATTTGGTCTTGCAGTTTACTGCTGCCCTCTGACTTTTTTTTTTTTACCCCTGCTTTTATTTGAAGGCCTATAGCCTTGGAATTATGTTTGATTCTGATCTCTCTCACCACATTTGTCAGACAAAAACTAATCAAGTTGTCATTTCACCAGCTTGGAATCTTTCCGGGCTGTGATCCATGTAGTCTCTGTATTTGTTGATGCTCTTTGAGGTACCCTTCATCATGCCCTGGCTAAATTACAGCTAGTTCGTGTTTTGTTAGGTTGCTTAATATGATACTGGATATAATAAATGAAGCAGCTTGTGTAAGAATGCACAGTAGACCTAGGATTTCTGTGTAGCTTTTCAGTGCTCTGCCTCGTATTCCAGAGGGGAAATTGAAGCTCGTGGCTCTGTCCACTGGTAAGACTTTCAGTAAATTGATTTTTGAGCATCCTGTGCTTCTTCGGCTAGTCCCCCTTTTCCAAAGTCTGTGTCTGTGATATGAAGATGCAGGTAAGGAAACTTGGTGCATCTGTCTCCTTTTCCCAACATCAATACACATCTAGAGGAACACAGTGAAAAATCAGACTGACATGGCCTAGCTGAAGAGTTTTGGGGGGAAAAAAAAAAGGTGCAGGCTTTATTGGCAGAGAGGGTGACAAGGGTTCAGGTGGGAGATAAGACACTTGATGCTCCGTGGAGCAATTCCTCGGATCTGGGCTGTGCTGAAGAAGAAATCTGCTCCTTCAGCTGGCTGGCTGCTGGCAGTGCAAATCGTATGGGGATGTGCTGGAGTTGGAGCCTTGTGCTAGGGTGATTAGAAGGGCTCTTGATAATATGAGTCCAGTGAAATGTACTGACTGCTGGGACCGAAGCTTAATAAATGCTAAATAAAGCACATCGCACAGAGTGAAGTGAGAGATAGGGCTCTGCTCTTTAAGTTAAGAGCTACTGTGGGATCCTTAAATGTCTGTGGAACTCGCTCTCCTTGTAAATTATCATCCTGGCTACATTAAAGCACAGGCTAAAATCCCAGTCCTGCAAGAAGTTCTAGATAGGTTGTGAGGGGAGGGCAAAATAACTGCAGCATTTCTGCCTTTCCTTCGGTATTGCTCTTCCTCCGTGGTGGTCCAGAAAGGCATAGGTCAGGCCAGGCTGCTTGCAGAAGTGATAGTGACCTCAATGAAAGCCCCTGCTTCGTCTCTCATCTTCAGGGAGTTAGCACCAATATCTGATGCTTTCTGTGCGCTGACAGCTCTCTGGAGCTGGTAGATACTTTCGTGAATTCTCCAACATGATTTCTGTGGTGTTTTTCAGATGGCACTTAATATAAGCCTTGCTAATTAACTGAGGTTGTGAAATAGATTAATAAACCGAGGAGTAGGAAAGTGTGGCCCACATCCAGGAGAAGAGTGGAAAGCAATGTCATGTGTAGACTTCATAAGAGTGATGCTTTAGGGTACTTTGAACCTAGATGAAATGACAATATAAATTGTTTACAAATGGCTGCATTTAAATGTAGTGATTTAGAAATCCTCTTTGTTTTTCATTTAACAGATGGGTCAAATTAAAACAAATATTTGCTCATTTCCAACATATTTCACATTTAATGTGAAATGTAAATGACAGTATATAGCAAGATGTCTTCGAACATCTAACAGCAATAAAAACAATTTAGCATTTTTTCCTTGTAGTTGTTAAAAGTGCTAAGTTCTATAAAACAGAGATTAAATTCATAAATCTCCAGGCGACGAGAAAAAGATAAATGGAAAAAGATGCAGGCAGGAACTGGTGCTTTTTAAGTGCCCTGCTGTTTTGCGCCATTTGAAATAATTTATGGGAATGAATTGTGAATGTTGATGATGGTCGAACCTGCTCTCTGCCCTGCTGGGGAAGGGAGTAGGTGACTTGGGGGACAGATTTGCAAGGGGGGTGACCCTACTGCTACAAAGGAGGGAGGCAAAGAGGGACTGAGCGATGGGGACACCACTGTGCTGGGGCAGCCTGAGGTTTTCCTCCTTCTTGAGGAAGGTAGTGGGGAGGGTCCAATCCTGCCCTGTTATTGTGCCCCCAGGTTTGCTCCATTTTTTGCGTAGGAATTGGATGCTCAGCAGTGCCTGCTCAGCTTGGGGACAGGCTGAGCAACACTTGAGGGCAGGCAAGGCTTTGAAATCCTTGGTGCCTGCTCCTCCTGTCCCGGGTACCTCGCTACGTGCTCAGTGGCGAGGAGGGACTGGGCCAGCGGCCGTGTCAACACCTCCGGTCCTGTTACTGGGCACGGGGAACCTCCAGGCCCTGTTCTGCACAAATTTTTGGCAGATTTCTTCCAGTATTTTGGAGAAAATCAGCTCTGCATTTATGCATGAGGCTGCTCGGTGTTATGCGTTCATATAGAATGGCTATTGGCTTCCAGAAAGATGCTGTAGCACATGTAAGTCTCTGCTCAGTAATCCAGCTCCTAAAATGAGGTATTCAGTGGTTTTGCCTGGGCTGTGGCAATAGTTCCTGCAGTCTCTCTTCATGTGGGTTACTTAAACCTCTCCTGAGTCATGTGGAGAAACTCCACCAGTGGGTCTGTCTATACGAACGGAACAGATCGGAGTCCAATATACACAATGTGGATTATCCTTGTCCTTGGTCAGGCTTGGCAGCTCGTGCTGGGACAGCAGGTCGTCTTCTCTGCTGTGAGGCTGCGTGGATCTGCATTTACGCAAGGGTGACTATATGGCTTGTCATCAAACTATATCTGATTGACCTGAACGTACACCCTGTGATGAAGCGAGCTATGACTAAGCCAGATGAAAACTTCGTTGCTTCTAAAGCTTCTGTGATATTTCCCTTGGCAGATTCCATTTTTATTCTTCTGCTAAAAACCTTAATTATTCCATATGCAGCAGCCTCAGGCCTCCTACAGTAAATAAGTTGAAATAAGAATGTCCCTTAGTATTGCCACATTACCTCCGCTTTTCTTTGCATACACCTCCAATTTGCCCTTTGAAACTATGATTTTCTTGGCTTGTCCGGCAGAAAGGGGGCTGCTGGGTACTGTTGCACGTGTGTGCCTGTTGGCATCCATTTTTTTTTTTTTGTTGGATTTTCTGTCTCCTGAACGTGATGAGGCTTCTGCCCGTCCTGATCTCTTGCATCTGGAAGGCAGAACAAAGCCTTGCAGCCGCTGAGGCAGCTGCGCCTGCCAGCGGCCGGCGGAGGCGGCTCCTCCGTACGGAGAGGAGCAGATCGGCTCTTTGCGCTGACTCCCTCCCATCACCACGGAACTGGAGCTGTGCTGCTTTCGGGACCTTCTGCTCGAAGATGAATTTTGCCTACGTGCCTGGACAGCAAATAGCCTCCAGCTTCCTTAATAAGCAGGAAAGGGAATTGCCTGTCATAATCTGCGTGCACTGCCTCTTCTTGAACAGTACTTTTTAAAAACTTGTTTTCCCTAACTTTTGGTCTAACCCCTACGTATGTCTGTCAAATACGTGGGGTGAGTCTCCACCTGAAGACAGTATCAAAACTGATTGCATGTGGTTTCATATGGTGCAGGTAGCTTCTTTTCTAGTCTTATGAACACAATAGCAGCCAGAGACTGTAAGACTGCAGCAAGTGTCATAGATGGCAGTTCCTGCCCCTAAATTCAAATATAATTAGCAAAGGGAGGGGTGGAAAGGCAGAAGGAATTGCAAGGTGGAGGACCGAGGCCACAGATGCCATGAACAAAACACTGAAGCATCTGCACAGTGTTGGGTTAGTGCCCTGCTGCTGGGCTGCCTGGCCCCTTCTGTGCCAGTTTTTGGAAGTGGCTGTTACAATGCTGGCAAGCTGTTTTATGCTATAAAAACACCAAATACCACTGTAAATACCATGCAAACAGCTGAACCTGGCTATAAGGTAAAGCTAGATAAAACTTAGAGTGGACCATACAAGAATCTTTCTTTAAATTAGAAAATTAGAAAGATGAGAGATTAGAAAAAGATTAGAAAGATAAAACTTCTTAGAACTTAAGCTGGAACATCCTCCCCCCTTTTTTTTTTTTCCTCTCTTTTTTTTTTTTTTTTTTTTTAATGCACTAGCACTGGCAGATTAATGTTTTGCTCAGAATAAAGGTATTGTGTGTAGAAATAGCTTTTCCAAAGATCACTAAGAAAATGTATTTCATAAGGCACTTGGCAAATAGGTTTTCAGGAGGACAGATTACTTCGAGTAGTCTGCTAAAAATATGTGGTTGTCATCTGGAGATGGCTCAGGCACAGTGTAGCTTGACAACAGTAGGACTTTTGTTACAGGAAAATTAGATGCTTCTTCATAGGCTGGAAATTGGCCGGGCTTTGTTGTTGTTGTTACTGCAAAAGGTAAAGCTTGGGATGGAATAAAAATTGAAAGAACTACCTAATTGATTAGATTCCAGAAGAACACAGCTCCAACGCGCGTAGTTTGGACTCGGCTTCGTTGACTCCTTTCAGTTCATTTCTTTAATCGTTCCACTCGGCTGCTTTCCTTCAGAGACTGTGTT